ATGTAGTTAATGAAACAAAAAGTTATTCAATGTCAAGAGGTCAGTTGTTCGTCATCGGACCAAAAAAGAAAGTAAACTTTGATAGCAGGCTCGTGTAACTATGCCACCATTGGTTTGTTTACGGTAACTCTGTGAATTCGGTCGTAGCGATATATTAAAACACAAAAAAAATTACCCCACAAGCATATTTTATACTGAAAACAACTTGCTACGCTGTATACTGTCCACGCGTAGGAAATTCGTTGAAGTATTAAAATGTAAAGAAGGAAAACTATAAAACAAACCAGCTGCCAAATACGACTGCACTTCCGGGAGTGTTTGTTTGTGTTTCTATGGTAACGGTGTTCCTTTCTTAATAGTCCGCGGAATAGCCGTGAAGGTTCAGACTCACCAGAATTAATCCAATTATTCTTATTATTAATATTATTATTAGTATTATAATATATAATTATTCTTCTTCTTATTAGCAGTAATAAGTAGTAGAAGAACTGTAGAATGTAATTTAATTATGTCGTAAAATATTTTAAAGATTTACTATTTTATTTTAAAAAAACAAAAAAAAAACATGTTTTGAATTCCAACCTTCCGGGCTCAATTAAGAGTCAAATTACTTGGCCCTCTTAATTTACATGCATTTTCATTTGACTTTGCCACTAGGAAATTGGGTCCAACATGGACGCCTCGAGTAAGATGTGAATGATGCTAACCTGCAGTGGAGGAGCACTCCTCCTCCGGTTTCAAACTGTGGTGCGTCAGCAGCAGCTGCCCCGCACAGCAACACTACGACTGCCGCCAACCGTGCAACCACAAACACGTCCTCAGTGCTCTGGAAGACGACGGCAGGATTTATTCTCCTTCTTGTCCACTTGACTGGTGTCTGTGGGATCGTTTTCTCGACCCTGCCAGGTATTGTGACCTCTTAACCTTTCCCGTGAGTTCTCTTCACCCTCTCTGGTTTACGTTAACTGAAATAATCTCATTTCATGCTGCAGGTTGAAAACTTTTAAAGTAGAGGTGAGATATTCGCGTGGAGGTGCCTACCTCCATTATGGGGTTATGGTCCTGAGTTTTAAGGGATTTTTTTCCTTTCACCTTTATCATGACGCGTCATACCGCCAAAATGTAAACGTTGTTTGGGGCCTCAGTTGCAGTTATTGGACTTGAATTAAAGTTATACTCAGCGCACATTTGTTCTATTAATAAACCGACCTGTAATTGAGCTCGGGGTCATATTTGGAATGGGAAGACTTGGTGATTCTCTGTAGTGGTTTGGCATGTGTGTGTTGGGCCACGCATCTTGATGTCCATTGTGGACCTTCTTCTTCACACTGTGGTGACCCCTTGCTATTCTCGCGGCGATTTGGGACTGAGACTTTCATCAAATAGCAAAATCCCCTCTTGCCTGGATGGGATATTCTTCGGTTCGCCACAGGCTAACAAGCAGCACTGAGTTTGTTTACAGAGTGGACGTGTGGTGAGGCCACGAGGTCGTTCCACTTGCTCTCCCTTACCTAATCTGTTCCGTGTTGAAAATTGATACAAATATCTAGATTTTTACAATCCCTACCAATTAGCATCCCGTTCAAGTGCTCATCAACCGATCCTTTTATTGCAAAAATGCTGACGCAGCCGCTAGGTGTGTGCTTCTGTCAAAGTCTATTAAATCACAAAGCTCGCGTGGAGGTCTGTGGGCTCTCAAGAGCGCACGAGCCGGCTTAGCTCTGGTCTTTACAGCTCGCCGGGGTATGCGCTACTGCCGTCGCGCAACCAGCTGCCCTCTCAGCACCAGTAGCACGATGCATGCAGATATTTCCAGGGACTTAAGACGCAGAGGGCCCCAAGTGGCTAATAACGATGATAGTCCCGTTGTCACACACAAGTGTAAATCCAGGAATTAGTCAGGCGGTGGGGCTTAAAATGCTAAGTGGCTCCCCATAGGGTTCCAAATACAGGGCTAATTGGCAACTGACAGGGCGTTGACGCCGACGGAGCACAGAGGCGTGATTTGAACCCGTGAGAACGCAGCACAGAAGGGAGCACGGCGAATGTCGAAGGAAGCGGCGAGTCGTAAGCGTCGCGTCGGGCTCTTCGTCTGTCCATGACCGTTTTAGGTCTATATCTGCACCATCCATTTGTGCACTGGCTCTTCAACGTGTAGAAAATGTCAATCCCCATGAAAATATGAAATAATTTCACCTTCCTCAAATACTGAACAACAAAGGAAAGAAAGGACAAGGAGAAACGGCAGGAACAGGAAGTCGGGTAGTAGTTCATGCCATCATCTATCGACAGCTTATCATGTTATCAGGTTCCAGGGTGAATGAAAGGGTTAAAGTCAAACGTTCCGCAGTGAAAGGTCCTTTTCTGTCCGACAATGTCTGAAGTCGACACTCGGGATTTGAGTGAGAAAAATACATCAACGCAATGGAGGTCAACATTACTGGCCGGCGATCAGGTGTCACGTAGCCACGTGGCTTGGGAGCTCGCAAAGTGCACTCGAGGGTGCGAAGCCGGAAGCTCAGTCGTGTTTGGCCCCCACCCCCCCCCACCGGCGTCCTATAAAGTGCACGTTAGTCAGCCCGGTAGAAGGGCTCGGCCATTCGAGCTGTTTATCTGGAGGGGATGTGAAGGCGGGCGGCCGCCGCTCAGCCCGGGAAGGAATGAGCGCAGTCATTCGGCTCCTGTAACACGACGCTTCGTCTTGACAGCCGCAAGCAACTGGGCAGCCACCGAATCCTGCTCACATGTGGGAATGCATCATCCGCTGTGTTATCACTCTCTCTCTCGACGTATGCGTGTGGGCGCCAACCATTCATGCGTGTACCCGGGCTAGCTGATTAATGAATTTTAGTGTTTCATTTGGAAAAACTCCAGTCGTTTTTTCCAAAAAGCAATTTCCAACTTGAACTCCCACCAATAAACCGACAACATGAGCGATACCATGAATCATTTGAATATGGCATCGAATTTACACTCCTTGACTTCACCTATTCACCGATTTATATTTTGGAACCGCTTTCATCCTTAAAAGTCCGCAAGATGGTCCCATAGCTAGAAAAGGAGTGCTTTGGCGCTTTCTTGTTGCATCTTGGTGGCACGGAACTAAGTTGAAGTAAGTGGAGAGGCTTCTGTTCGACAGGCCAAAGCG